CGTCAATCCCATGTTGTTGGCAGAGACTGAGTGCCTCGAGGAGGCGAGTGAGCTCTGTAGGGAACAGCAAGTCTTTGCAATCAGCGTCAAGTCTGCGCCTCGAAGACGATGCAATACCTGTGTGGGAGTGGAGCAGAGATGAGACTCTAGTCCATGTGCAGTGCTTTGGAAAGGGACGCCGCAAAGCGTCCTACATTATCTGCACCTCAAAGATCCGGTTTGGTACAATGAAAGTTGCAGCCTCTACTTGCAGTAGTCGGATATCGAATGCAGTGTATTTGACCACATCGGCCCCATGCAGCGAATCGTGTAGGGCATAGGTGTGAGGAAGGGGCCCCTCTTCCATCTTTGTCACTGCGTTTAGTCTTTCATAATCGACACAGAGGCATAGGCTATCTTGACTCTTTATTCTCTAGTGCGATGGGAATGGGAATCTTGGACGATTTGGGGGGAGGCGGATGGGGGAGATCTGATAACCTCGTTACGATATCTCTTATCGATTAGGTGTTGCACTTCGACCTGCAGGGGAGGTGGTATGCACCTGAGTGCTTGTCACACTCGTATCGATTATGCGCTTAAAGGTGTGTGGTCATCCCGGTTTTGTACTCGCGCCGAAGAGCATATTTGAGAACTTTGTGAGCAGTGAGTGCATTGTCTTCCTTTTCGTTGTCTATGCCTTCCTTTGGTTGGGAACAGATACCACCTAGACTGGTCCTAGCAGTGGCTTAGACCTATTCCATACTGCGGAATGGAAGCTCTCTTCTTCGTATATAGCTGAGTTATATTCGTGCCTTTCGAAAAGTTCAAGATCGCATGAGCTTAACGTAAGAAGTCAACTCCTAATATAGCATGAAATTTGCTTCCAAACTCTCCTTTCCCGGTTGTGACCTTTATGGGAGCCTCGCTTTTTAATCATCTCACAGAACGTAGCTTTGTAGCCAGAAGAGCGATCTGTATCTTAATGCAAATCATTAAATTGGTAAATTGGTTTGGTAAAGGTTTGGCTGCCACTGAGTCCAGAATGAAAGCCTATGGATTGCCTTCCACAATAGTCGGGGCCCAAATGAACGCGAGAGAAGCGTATCGTTGGTCAGAGGGGTTGGACCATCCCCTGCGTGCTCACACTGATAAAATGACGTGAACCTTCGCTCGAAGCTGGAATTTCCCATGAGTAGGCTGATTTTACATGTTCCAACCAAATGGGTCCTCGTTGGGGCGGGTGTGGTGAAGAAGAAACCGTAGGTAAGAACAACTCAATTTGGGTAAGGACTAGCACGGAAAACACCGCAGCGCTGATCTATGTCGGAGGTCGGGAGAGACATGACTTCCAATGCCTTGCTGCGAGGCCAGAAACCGTCTGCTGCTCATCGCGGGAGCCAAGTACGCAACTTGTAAATGCTGACCATTTTGCAAAGTTCGCATTACCTTTGAAAGGCGGGAGGTTTGGCGACGCCACCTCAAATGCATTCGGCGCTCTTGACTCAGCATCCTTCTTGGTTCCTCTCGGAGATCAGCTCCCCCAAATTCCTTTAGTTGGCATAACAAAGAGTTGAAAGATTGGATGGGAAGTTAGGAAATTACTTTTGTGTTCCAAGCTGGTCATCCACACGTTCCGCATTCGATTTGGCTGCCCGTTTCTCACCTACCAAAAACAATTTAAGTGCATAATATGCATTACAGAAGTCGTTACGCTAAAAGACAAAGCAACAAGTCACTATCCCGACATCCCCTGAATACTTTGTTTGTCGGACTGTCTGATTGAGTGAAGGTCTCCATGGTAGCCGTCTGCATTTTGCCGGTTTGGATACCCATTAGCCTTGCTAAAGTTCCATCCCCTTCCTCTTTCTCTCTCTCTCTCTCTTTGAATCAAGCATTCTGCCAAATCCTTTGCCTTCTCTTTGCCTCACCGTCTGTTCAATCCTTAATAATTCTTTGGTAATAACTGTAATACATATGCTTTGTTTCACAAAGTACCTGCGTATCATAACACCCAACAAAGTCTCTTTAAGGAGGCGGACGCTTGAGGAGTCTGTCAACTAAGAGGCCAACTGGAGTTATAGTGAGGATAAGATCAACTTGTAAAAAAATACCCTCATGGGCGTAGTGCTCCAATTGTTAAGTGTTTAGGATGGGGGGATTATGGTCAAAAAAGAACTCACAGACACTGTAGGACCTTGCATGCTTGGTGGTCGGTTAGGTAATTATCTCGCCCTTGTTTGCGTAGGTTGACCTTTAAGGTAGGTCAAAATCCAATCCACCCAACTTCTACCGGATAATGTGCGATCATCTCCACTTAGTGTTTTAATGCTTTGTTTATGTGACCGCCTGGCATTTGGCGGTCACTATAAGATCTGTCTGGTTCTTGAACGTGTGGGCTGGTCTTCGAGTCGTGCTCAGGCCTAGTTGCTCTGTTCTCCTTGGAATACATAAACCCAGCTCCACGTACTGCTTTCTTTTACCCCGTGAGAAGTCTCGGGAAGCTGCAATTGTCAGAATGCTTCACGAGTGGCAGTGAACAGCAGAACCGACCTTACACGGCTTTTGTCTGCAGTGGTGAAGAAGCGCTTAAACTCTCACTTTCTCACAACAGGAGAGTTAAGACCGATGTCTGCGATTGAATTTACTACACTTCTATTTGCCACGCCCAACCGATTAACAAATAAAGCGATGCCACCAAGAGGCAGCCGTAGAAGTAGCATTATTGGTGTTGTTCTTATCAGTATGCCTAATGCTGTTCCGTAAAGGATTGTGATTGTAGCATCTAGAGACTTCCAATTAATTCTAAGTCGGTATTGAGCTGGATCTAATCCATGTTTTTGAAGAAGAAGAGGAGGGAACTGACCTTTGACTTGGCCTAATACTCAGTCCACGTGCGCAAAGGTGAGACGGATATCAAAGTGACTGCCAGACTGTAGTATATTACTAACGTGTTTAAAGTGACCTTTATCGCAATTTTAATACAAAACCAGTTCAAGTAAAATGTGGAGATACGTTTACGTTCTTTCTGTACGTAATACCTAATAAGGCTTCCTCAAATAATCCTCTCCTGAAGTTCGGGTATCAAGGGCCTGAGGGTGGGTAGGCAGACTTTAAGATAACAGTGTTGTATTCCGTTTTTTATTTTAAAATTGTTCATTTAAATGTTCCAAAATCTACCCCTGAACACAATTGGTGGTCAACGGAATTATGCGCCTTGGTTGCTGCCTTCAGGATAAATATTACTACAGTTCCAGCTAAAACTGCTAAAATGTAGGGCGCAGCTGGCCCGTGGGAGTTTGTCTTGCAGCATCATATGCGTTGTGGTGTCCGATTGGGAAGTAAAGTTAAGGTAAGCGTTGAGTACGTTGTTAAAAGGAAGGGAGGGGCACTTCGGTATTTATTTTGTTCTAGGCCATGTAGATCGGCTTTATTGTTAAGCCAAAGTATTGTCTCGAAACTTTCAACCGGACAGAATGGGATATAAAGTGGAAATGAATACATGTATTCTAGTGGGAACAAAGGTGTCAGAGCTGACCTAGGCCCAAAGGCCAGCTCATGCGTACAACAATCCGACGAACCCTAAAGTAACCACCAGACTTTGGGCCGTCACATAAACACATAAACAAAGTACTGTAGCCTCTGACTGTAACCGCATGACATTTGATGGTCACTGTAGTAACTGCCTGTCTACCCTCTGGTCCCTGGTTCTCAAACTTTAAGGGGAAGTTGATTGTAGACGATTTATTAGGCATCTCTATAAGAAGGATAGGGGAATAAGATACAGATGTGATGAACAGGAGGTGTCAATCGCAGGGAGGCTCCTCGTCGACCTCGCGCACGTGATCCAGGCTTCCAATTGGTTTCCGCCTCTCACAGTCACTTTAGGATTTTTCTGGCCCCTGCACTTGTGGACTGGGCTTCGAGCCATGCTCAGGCCCATTTGCTCTGTCCTTTTCGGACACTACACTGACCACCACAGTCGCATTAAGGCAACCTTTACAGTCCGCAAATATTTTGGAACTCTGTCTAATTTTATTAGCAAAACAAGGTAAGTTATACACACCAATGTGAACCAAACACAAATTAAAATCCTTGACACAATATTTCGTGATGTGAAAATTCAATTTTCGAGAAATTCTTACTGTTCTTACTACATGATACCACTGCATGTTTTATTAGAGAATAGGCCTAGAATTTGCGGTTTTGTTTCGAGGTTTGTGATTCGCTGGGTAACTATTGCCTACCGTTTCAATAACCGTCTGTAAATGGCGTTGTCTTATTTCTCCCCATGTAAGGCGCTATTTTTTGTCCGATCCCCAACAAAATTGGCTTCTCGTGGTTTGCAGCTTGCTGCTCAATGTGATTTCGAACATATAAAGCCTCCGCCATTTGACTTTCTCAGCACGGGTTATCCACAATGGCTAATGTTCGACAAGACTAAACACCGGTTCACCGAAAACACAAAATTTGTCTGTGTTGAGGGCAATATAGCTTGTGGGAAAGGACACGTGGCGAAGAAGATAGCTGAATATTTTGGAATGATCCATCGACCGGATCCTACCGATGATACGATTTTTACACTAAAAAATTATAACCCTCCTATTGATGTTCGAATGCACAATACCATGTTGCCCAAATGGGCTCAGTACTTTACAACTGAAATGTTTTGGACTGAAGAAGATCTCAAGGAAAAAGGGAAGCCCATGTACTTGCAATATCAGTATTATCTGAACCGATATTGGAATTATCTCATTGGTCTCTGTACTCTGTTTCACACTGGAAAGGGAATTGTTACAGATCGCAGCCACTTTTCTGACATGGCTTTTGCAGAAGCTCTTCTAAACTGCGGCTACATCTCAGAGTATGGTAATCACTTTTTGACTCTCCAATCACCTCTATCTTAGCTCATGACTGGTTTGGTTATCTGCATGCAAACACAGCTATAAATCTGTGGAAACCGCACCTCATTGTGTACATTAAAGCGAGTATTGATCAAATTCATGATGAGATCAAAAAGAGGGGCATCGTAGGTTCTTGGAGCCATTGTGATTCCGTCTCTTATAGGCATGGCAAATTAATGCAAAAAACTTGAATGATGACTTCTTCTGTGAGTACAGGAAAGCTCTTGAAATGTATCTGGAGAAGATGTCTCGTTACTCCGAGATTTTCGTTGTTGATCGGAGTAATACGGATATATACAACGATGATGATCTCCTTATTGTAGGTTGCAGTGAATTACTTCGTCAAACCCTGTTTTTGTGTTAACGCTAAGCGCATTTTTCTCTTCCAAGGTTATGGAAAAGTTAACCGATATTGACTACGAAGGTAGGCGTTTGATTCGTGATGACTACAAGTTTCTTGAATGGCGAACTGGTCTGGTAAACGAGCGATCTGCCACCGATAATCGGGCAAAGTGGGTATTGATGATTTCTCTTTTTATTTGACATTGCTCTCATGCCCGTCTGTTGATCCCTCCTTTCCTTCCACCTCACAGGTTCTCCTCCGCGATGATGAAGTTCACGACTCAATTCAAGAAATTTCATATGCCTTTTGATATGACAGATGGCGTCTACAGTTTCGATGCAAAGGAGCTTCAATATCTTGTTTATAAGAGGGTGAGCTGTTTCGTACGCTATTCTTGTTTGCATCGTTCTAACGGCTTTGCGAGTTTGTGTTTTCTGAGTTTGTGCAGATGGTTTTAGTTCTTCACGTTTCAGTTTTGATAATGGTAGTGCCTTGTTCTCATGGAACACCTGTGAAATGGTTACAGATTTCTATTTTAATCGGATCAGATTTACCTCTTCTTATTAGGCGTAGTTTCAGCGTGATCGAGCAAGCTGAGCTGTAGCTTTATTAATTGTCAGGCATTTATGCTGCGTTGTTTCAGCTTCGTGCAAGAGTAAGAGACGACATTTTGAGGTTGCATTTGGTCTCCTGTTATTTCTTTTGTTCTCTGTGCTTTTCTATCGTACAACATTTTCGGCTACTTTGTTAATCTATTGAGTCTTTAATCGTGCAGATTTATCTATTCCATTCTTTTACATGCTTATTTCGCCTGTTTCATTTTCATCAGCATAGCTGAAATCTTGTAACTTTTTTGCCCCTAGGAACGGCTTGTCCATAGCTCTAATCCCCTTCCCACCGATTTGCATTCATCCATTGATTTACTTTCAAGTTTTCTCATATCATTGGTGCTCCTTGTGGTTCCATCGTCCTCACTCTTTGTTTTGAGTAACTTCCTAAGTTTTTCCCTTCCTCGAACTTTTTTCTCTGTGTAAAAATCTCCCTTATCCTTTGTTCTTGCCCTGTTACCATGCTTGTAGGGACGATTGAAGTTGAGTTATTTCTTTATGTATGATTCGGAAAAATATCCCATCTCTATCGTATCTAGGCCACAAAACTGTCTGTGTGCTCCAGCTGACACTGCGCTTGCGTTAGAGACCGCAGAATTCGCTCATATTTACATTTGAACTTGTCTTCAAGAGTAAAGCCATTGAGGCGGATGTTTCACGCACTTTAACCTTCACAGTGGTCGCATGGAGCTCAAAATCGGCTACGGATATGCTCTTCAATACATGGCGAAATTTCCTACCCAACTTACAATATAGAATGTGCAGCTTCTGAGAAAAGTGCAATTTTCAGAGTATGAAAAATGCTAGGTAGATTAACAGTAGCCATTGCACGCAAGACGCCTGCTTTGAATTGCGATCGTTCTCCTTACAAACGGCTCTGGTGTGGAATATGAGCACTGATACACGACTGCAGAAGTCTGCTAGTGACATCTCAGTCGATGATAACTTGCCTTCCTCACTTGGGTGGAAACGATGCATCGTGTATTTCTTGCTTTAAAAGGATCCTCGGTTGAAGTACCTGCCAGGTTACGATCCTTCGAAAGACAGTATACTTCGAATCCTCTTTGATCCTTGGCTGGAGAAGCGGAACTTCCGTAAAGATTGGCCCACCTTCTTCCTTACCTTCTACTAGTCTTCCCCATCCCTGACACAACTAGACTCCTGTAGAAAATTCCAATATCATCCTTTTTACTGCGTCTTTTTGTCTCCATCCATGCTCCTTGGGACCTTAGATCGCACCACTCAGTATTGTGAATCCATCTCACGTGTGATCGGCTTGCTGAACCAGAGAAACGGTACGTACCACACGCCTAGCTTAATCATTTGGGAATGTAATTTAATTCGATGGCATGGTGGTGGCTCGAGTGCCTACGTGTTTTTGCCTGGAAGAAGGACATTACGGTTAAGGTTCTATCAACTGACTGTTAAAATGACCCCGCGATTCGCATCGCTATTCCATTCCATTAAATGCGGGGATGGATGTGGCCATCGTAACTGATTCCCTGCCTTTGCCGAAATGAGCCGGTCATTCCACCTAGTTTTGCCTTTCTAGTGCAGGCGGAGTTAGCAACGTTTACTGCCGCGATGGTGATTACACGATTTTTTTTTTGATAGGGAAGAGCGGCCGCAACGATTACGTAATGCATTTATAAGTCCCTCATCACACGCAAACAGCTCTCGTTAAATCACCTCCATGAATTTGCATTTTCAAACCTCACTGGTGGTCCGCACTGACGTCTCACATCCGTTTAAACACAAAATTGTGGGAAAACATGGCTTCTGCCTGCTGCAATTTGTCCTCTTTAGCATTCAAATCCTGGAAACGAACTCCAAAAAAAAAAACTATTTAACCCTTAAATTCACAGGACTAGCTTTATCTTCGTTTCCCTGGTTACCATCTAAAACATTCCGCCTAAAAGGAATGTGTAATGGATACGCGAAGCATAGCTGAAGAAGACTCCCACCATATCTCTGTGAGCCCTCGAACTCGGGAATCACCCACACGATTGGAAGTGTTGCAAACAGGATTGAGGAAAGGCACCAAGGTCTCAGTCTCTGATCCACAGACGCCACGAAGCACGCAATTTTCTTTGCACTTGACACTGGCTAGACCAATCTGAAAACCGTCAAATTTTCTTGAATCTGAGTTACAAGTGACAGACACATCGTCAACGTGCATTTCGCGTATCATCACCATCAGCACAAAATTTGCCTCTTATCTCCGCAAAGTAGACATTCGGAGCCAGCGTGGGTTGAGAACTTTGGGGGCGAGTGGGGTTATTCAGAAGGGAAATAAGGGAGGGAGACGGGTAACAGGGAGGAGGAAGGAGACGCACTTGTGCTTGTTTTGGGCTGGCGGTGGAAGGTGGCAGAAAATTTCCCATGACACAAAAAAAATGACCGCCGAATGGCAGACACGCAAGTGCAAGCAGATAAAGGACCAAACACAAAGACGCCAGATAAGGGCGGGTGGTGCGGAGGAATTTGGGAGACAAATTGCAGTGGAAAGTAGTTTTTATTACTAATTGTCACTGTGTTCACTGGGTCTACTTGAATCGTGATCGTTGACGCCGGTTGCGAGAACGACCCAGGCAGGAGCAGCAGCTAAAGAAGAGGACGCGAAAGAAAAATGAAACTTAACTAGGCTAAAACGTTCATGAAACAATCTGATCGGAGGGAAAAAGTGGTCTAGTTACACTAACCGAAGCCGCTAGTTCAAAACCTGGAGCCAACTGACATACTGATTGGTGGCGTCAATGTCAAATTCGACTCACCCACAAGCCTGTGACCCGGAAGAGGCATCACCCGCACCTGGTGTAGCTGCCTTGTTAGTCGCGGTGGCGAGGTTCATGGGGATGGATTGTGGGTTGCCACCACCAACCGCAGAGGGGTGGGAATATCCAATGTTGGTGGGGTTGGCGGCAGATGAGGAGGTAGGTGGTTGACCATGTGGCACCTCGGAGAGGGGCATGTCACTGGGTCTAATAGATTCGCCTCCCAACAACTGCTACAAGGGAGCATACATCGTTGCCCTTACTCTCCTCTCATCACATTACCATACAAGCGGTTATACCTTAACTGAATCGTAGATTTGACCATGTTTACCTAACCTGCCTTCCAGAAGTAGGTAGTTTGGGTGGCAGCGCAGTCAGTGCTTTTAACTCGTCAAGGTCCTCTACACAAATCAATAATAAAGGCGCTTCCTGATTCGGATCACTCAAAAAGACCTTGTAAGGAATGAACTGCCAGAGGGTTCACCCCTACTTCTATTATACAATTGGTTCAAATCCACCAATGAAAAGCAAGCACGCTTGCCGAGATCGTAACCCGTTTCAATTCCAGGCCCAGGACAATCATAGGTCAGGAGGAAGGTATTCCTCAACTCACAATAGCTATTTATGTAGGCACACGACTCAACCGATAGAACGTTCGAAGCCAGGTGCCCGAACAAGAGACAACAATTGCATGGCTCCCTAACATCAGTGTGGCGACAAATATTGTGCCGGAAATGCTGCACAAAAATCAGTCGGTCGGAGGATTGACTTGCAAACAGTGCTGGAAACTGTATTAAATAGTTGAAAAAAAAGTTTCGACCTCTGAGATAGCTAATACAACTGCCCTTTGAAGCTAAGTTCTACTGAAGGGTTGCGAGTAAGGAGCCTTTTTATTTCATCTCACCTGTTCATCGCCATTGGCGTGTAATTTTCGCTGCTCACTAGGTCGCCGACCTGTGAGCGTAGTGTCACCTCCCACCGCCGGTGTCGCTGCACCCGACCAATAGGCGGAGGAGTTGGGAGGGGGATGGGGACCGTGGTGGCTGGAATGACCTGCATTGGCGGCATTTGAGCTGATAGGATCTGTCGTAGGTGCTTGTGCTGCAGGAGTGGCATTGGCGGCCAGATTATTCTGGTGACCCGATGAGCTGCCCTTCAAAAGGCAATTTAGAAATGGCGATTATGGTAAGTGCTAAGGAGAAGAATCAACCTTAAAGCTCCCCATTTATCAATACTACCGAAAGGAGAAAAAGCTGTCACGGCAATTACAAAATGACCATTTAGAAAGGAGAAACGTACTCGGGGAGCACCTGGAAGTGGACGATAGCACCAATCGAACTCCCAATCGCACTCCCATCGCTGACGTTTCATGAGATCGGTGAAAATCCATCGCAGATATTCGTAGTTTGGCACCTCAAAGAAGTCTAGACTTCGCACGTAGCGCAGATACGTCGCCATTTCTGGAGGGATCAGAAAGAAACTCAGCTAAGTGAATGATTAGGCGGAAGAGTATCACCAAACATCCCAACCAGCGAGGCGCCACGACCGTGCTCCCCTAACATAAACTTTAAGAGGAGACAATCGTACGAGAAGAAATGCTACCACCATGTGGAATGAGGCATTCATGTTTAACAGAGCCCAGAGAATCGGTTAGTTAAGATCGCTCAAGTTCGTTCAGTCATTCCAGAGGCAGTAGGCTAAGGTCTGAAGGCAAACAATTGCCTCACCATCGTCATTAGCGAAAAGGGCTGCTTACTTAGTGCTAGCCTAATTGTACAGGACATGTGAATGTTCAGTTTACCACTTTCTGAAGCAGAGAAAGCCAACCTTTTGTGATTTTTCACTCATCCTAGCACTAGAGATTGGACGCAGAATCACAACGTGAGTTTGAGTTGGTAGGTGAGAAAGCCTCCTTCCCTACTGCAAAATCTTGTTGCAGTTAGGGCATAGTGAAGTGGTAGAGACCCTCACTAAAAGACAGGGTTTCTTTGAGTCTTCACTTTCCCTGCCACATTCACCGCCAATTCAAACAACACAATGTTGCACTAATGAAATAAAGTAGGGAACACTGAGTTCGTATTGTTCGTCGGCTACTAAAATGGCGATGCCAATCTGCATTTCGCCCTTGCAATTGGACGTGACCTTCACCATCACTATGGACAAGTAAAAGTAAAGGAGGCAACAGCTTGTCAGCACCCACACAGCCCTGTTTTCGACATACGATAATGACGCAATTGAAAGGAACAAGAGTTCTTCCACAACTGATTCAAAGGGCCTCGAAGCCAGACAAAGTGGGAGGATGAAAGCTGAGTCTAGGCTGAAGCGCCACTTCACCTAAAGCAGAGTTCGAAAAGCCTGCCCATTCCGATTACCAAATTTGGTAAAAAAGGGGGATTCGGACAGCCCTCAATTCAAGCGGTGGGAAAAAACAGTGCATCTAAAAATACGACATAAGATAAGTAGAGTGGAGAGAATAAGAGTGACACAGAAGGCTTGTCGGTTTTATGAGATGCTCACGATGGAAGTGGGAAAAGAACAAAGCGAAAAAAACAGCATCACAGTTAGAGGCATACAAAACGGTGTCGATTAAAGGATGCAATTTCGTGCCTTCACACAAAAAACTCCCTTTAAAACGCAACACATTGCATCACAAACCGATTGAGGAGCGAAACAATTAGCATTTAGACTAAACAAGGCACTGAAATGAAAATCTACCATTGGAATATAAATGCCACATGGAGAGGAAGGAGACAAACCCGAACTGAAGGCTGTGGACTACGCCGAGTAGGCTCACACAGAAGATGTCGCTGTTAGAGAGCCATCAGTTGCCGTTAAACCGCTTCGCTTCAGCAAGAGATCGGTGAAATCAGGGTGGAAGAAATGCAGCACAAGTTTTGCACCCACAGCAATGCATTAGGGAATGCTCAAGCAAGCGAGCAGAAGACGAGGTGAGGAGGCAAGACAGATATAAATCAAGGCAAGTTTGAGTAATGTCAAGAGCAATGAGACCGACGGGTGAGGTGATATGTGATGGCAAAATGGGGGGAAGTGATTAGACAGCCTTGACGGGAGAGCAATCTTAGAGGCTGACTAACTTACCAGAGAGGTGCTACGACAGGAAAAGGCATCAGCAATCAACCCCAAAACGCAATTAAAATGCCACACACAAGAGCCGACAATAGAAGAAAAAAAATTGGCAGTAATGATTAATTTCTGAAGAGGTAGACAGCCCTAACAAATGCTGGAAAGTGAATGACTTCAAGCGCTAGAAAGTGCTATTACCAAAATAAAAATGGGGTAGAAGGAAGCGAGTAGGAGAAGGCGGCTTAAGGTGGGATGAGGTGGAGGTAGCGCGGTTTCAACTAACCAAAGTTTAAAGCAAAGATCGCATCTTTTTTGGACTAATGAGGAGAAGAATGACGTGGAGCAAAGGCCCCTAGCAGAGGCGCGATCAAGACAAGCAGTAACTATGGCCACCTCGCAAAAAGTGGGCGGCCTTGGTTCCATCAAAGCGGACAGCTAAAGTACAGCGATTCTACAAACACCAGACCATTCAAAGGCAATGAGAAATCTACCAAAAAACTGGTAATGCATCGACGAAGAATGTCCAATAGGGGATAAGAGGAGGCCCAAAATTGGGGATGAAGTAAGGCAGTGAAGAGCAGCACTATAATGCCGGCAAAACAATGAGTTGAAATGTCTTGAAATATTTTTAAAAATGCAAAAAACAAAAAAATTGACGGTAAGTGAAGAAGAAGAAGAAGAAGGAAATTAGCATAAATTAAAATAAGTGTGCCCAGCGTCTTGAGACAACGAGATCCAAATCACTTGAGTGTTAAGTCAAAAGCTACGGAATTAAATGAGCAAAACAACAGGGTGGAAGAGAGGTACATCCGAAACAAGGATCCGCGAACCACAGCCTCACAAATTCATGCATTACTTGGACGCCTAAGATGAAGCAACAAATTGCTGACAAAGACACAAGTAGGTAGTCGTCTACACTGTCCAAATGCCTTGGATTAAACAAACTGACACATGAGTGTTGTTGTAATCAAGTGCATGGAGAAAAAGTGATGCAACTCTGACTGACCAAAACAGCGATTGGAGTTATGGTCGGGTCGTGGACCCCATGGGAGAATCACATGATCAGAACAGCGCTCCCTCGTCTTACCAATAAGGTCAGAAAGGTGGAACGTGATGATAAGATTGGGAGACGAGTTTGATGACACGGGGCACATTGGACCCCAAAACACCGGTCGAAGTGGTACACCAAGCGCAGCAGACAAGACGGATCCGCTGTAGGAAGAGCAGGATTTCGGTAAGAACCACATTGAGAGGCAGCAAAATCGGCTAATAAGAGACTAATGAACCCCATTTGGTGGACACCAGGTAGGTGGAAATCAACACTGACTTCAATTTGTAGGGATACGTGAGAAGTGCTCCACCGTGACAAATCGCCGATAGAACAATACGCGTGTCAAGTGTAGTATGGAGATTGTTTTGCTCAAGTCTCGGTTTTGGGGAGGGCTACATGGTGTCTCAACCACTGTAGCTGCGTCAGACGGCCCAACTAACTCGCCTTCTTAAAAAAATGTATGCTTTGTTCAGGCACCACCTCGGGAACGGATGACTCAGAGGACCAAAAAATAGAGGTGACTTAAAGGTGAAGAGGGAGAGGAACAATTTCAACCCCTTTTAAAGGGGAAATTGAGGTTGAGACAATAGAAATATGAGAGGAATGCCCTGCTGATAGAGAAAACCATCAAGTGTCCAAAACGTAAGTGTTGATAGGGGAAAGGAAGGAAAGAAGGGGAAAGAAGGTAAACACACCTAAGTCTTAACCAGTAAAAATGTGCCCTAGCGTAAAACAGTAGATCCGGATGGATATGACCTAAACCAACCTCAGATTAACAAGTTAGACGAGTGAAAAAGGAAGTGTAGGAGCATAAATGTAAAAGAATTTGCTCACAAAGATGAACTAAAAAGGCCAAACCCCCATTTCGCTTAAAATATTACAAGACCAGCATCAGTTTTGAAAAGGAAAAGCTTTAAAGAGAAATGCAGTTAGTGAAATATAGCATCCCTTAAAAAATAGGTTAAAAATAACCGAGATGAGCAAAAGTGACCTTTTAAACCAGAAGCCAAATAGTTCCAAAATACTACAATTTAGAAATAGGGATAAGAATAAAAGGGCTGAAAATTGGGGATGAGAAGTGAGAGACTGACAAACCTGGATAGCCTTGACAGAGGACTTCAATAGGAGTGGCACATTTCGTATCGCCGATCTTCTGATACCGCTCGCGGAGATTGTCCGCCTTGAGGCCCTGCCAGGGCAGGCAGCCACGGAGGAAGTAAAGGAACATGTGACCCAACGCCTCTAGGTCATCACGACGTGATTGCTCTGTGGAGAATGAGGCATAGGTTAATAGAAGAGAGGCTTATCCCACACCTGTCGATAGCCTGCCACCTGTTCAATCATCCAGTCGCCTGTTTCAAATACGCGTCTTCCCTACTCCCTCTAGTATCAGTTAGCAAGTAAAGTGCATTCTCAATTCCTCCTCCTCCTCCTCCCACCGCTCGGAGACCAAAGACAAACCAACTGGCCAATGAAAAACGACGCCCACTTTCTGACCTTGACTACCACTCATTTCCGTTGATGGGTCAACGCATCTCTTGCTCAGTCCAACCTACCCTTGCCCCCATTCCAAGTCCATCAGCTCGCCGATCCATGCATTTGTTTATGCATACATCCACTTTTTTAAACTACCATCTCAGAATCGTCTATTTATCCATCCAGTATGTAACTGTCCAAGCATCAACAAATTAGAACATTCATTTATCATTTCATCAAATCGCTCCGGCTTCGACTACTTGGAATTCAGTCATTCATTCCGGGACAGATTCAACATTATCCAGCGTGCAGTCATGAAAAAAAATACTGTGCCAACATTGCAAAGGAAAGTGTAAGTTGGTATCGAAACTCCGAAAATAGTGAGGAAGATGAATGATAAATCATGCGTGTACATGCGACATGATGGAACTGCCTGAAGGAACGAATGTGAGCCAATGAAGGGGAACTTGGATCCAAGCCTTCGGGGAACGACCCTACCCAGTAAACTATTTTTCGAGGCGACGAACGCGAACAAGAGTCAGGAGTTGAACACGTTTCGCCAGAGTGAGGCTGTAACGTCCAGACAAAATGAGGACTTGAAAAGATTCCAAACTAGGCAACGCTAGCCGTAAAAAAATGCATAAGATAAATAAAAATGCGATACTTTTAATTAGCCCAAAGTTCCGGCTCCCAGAAACGAAGGGAGAGAAGCAAGTAGCCAAATTGAGGGCTGCCACGCACCTAGGCGGACATTACAATTTCGTTTGACCATGGCGAGACTTTCCGCACTATAGAGGAGCGTTCTATCGCTCGGTAAGAGACATAAGCACTTAAGTTGCGTTGAAAGAACGAATCCGCCTTAAGGTGTAAGATTTAGATTCAACTGGCTAGAAGCGATGAAGCCGGTGGAGCGGCGAATTGAGAGAGGCCTGAAATTCCTTGCCGATATGACAATGAAGAATGAAGGAGTATCCTGGAGGTAATCCATAAATAAAAAGGCAACAGTTGCCCTACGGCACGTCACTAGTTGTCACTCCGTTTAGACTGCCACTGCAATTAAATGAACCATTTTTCAACGCAGCAAAAAGTTGGACAAAAGTAACGGACAGGATGGGTTTAAATGACATTTGAAATGATTGGCGTTTTCTCATAATTTACTTAAGTGCAAAAGCATCAAACTTAGCAAAGACATTTCTGGAGCAAAATGGCAAATAAAAACTAGACTAAAGCGCTTGGTATCACCTCCGATCGCTAAGCGCAGAGGGGAATCAGTAGCTTAGAAAAAAACCGGGTGGATGAAACAGAAGAAACGCCGCATAGATGAAGAAGTGGGAGGGTTATAAATTATACAGGCCTCTGTAGAAGGGTGCTCCGTCAAAAGGACGGTGCTCGTAGTTAAAAAGCACAAATGTCCAAAATGGACCTTTGAACTTAGAACAGATCGCTCCAAAACCGTCAAGCAAGGCGGTACGGTAACAGCACCGGTAAGTCCATGCGCAAGAAACATGAAATGATGATTGCGTGTAGTGCAAACGTAGTTTAACCTCTAGAAGGTGTGGTGGAAAAGCCTAACGTGGGTGGATGAAGAAATAGTCTACTCCAATAAATAACAATAGATTCAAACATTGAGAGAAATCGCATCACAGTGAAGCAACCTGCCTCAATCCACTTCAGCCGTACCGAAAACTCATGCATTAGAAAGTCCTTTCCTTCAGAGGTAATTTAAGCCTCGGTAATCATATCAAAGTCGCAGACTTTGCACCTCGATTTCTGCTTCCCTTTGACAAGTACAAAAGAGTCCATTTGAGGTGTTTAAAAACACCTCACATGAACGGTTTGTCTCAAATGGAAATCGCATTATGAATCATAAAATCTAATCGCATTAGGCGGTAGATCGAATTCAATTGTGATAAATGGGAAAAGAGAACAAACCTTTGCCGAGATGCGTGTTAATGCTCATGTAACGCGCAGTCCCAGTGAGACTCTTGTGGTCTTTGAAGGGGATGTGTTTTCCCGTATCCTGATCGATGTACTCCTTGGCAAGACCAAAATCAATCATGTAGATGATACGGTGACGGTCGTAGGATTGACGTCCGATGAGAAAGTTCTCGGGCTTCACATCCCTGTATATTAGGTGGTGCGAGTGAACGTACTCGATTCTCTGCAGCTGCATAAAACCATGGAAATTAAGCAAAAGACTTAGCAGAGGCAGCGAAAAGTCCACCCTCCTCCTCCTTAGAGGAGGTAACCTCAGAAGAACGAAAAATGAGACATTTGGAGCTACTCAAAGGCTACACAGCTTCGTTTACCCATCAGTCCAAAGAATGTTCACTAATTTGTTTCAAGTCCACTCCTTCATTCATTCACCCGCAGCCAATTTGTGACTCGCGTGCCCATTAGAGGTGCAACAAACCATCCCAAGTTCGTGACTAAACAGGTCTCGCTAATAACCGCGTCCATAATTGCTACACCTACCTGACTAAAAATTTACTGAGTTTGAATTAAAAACTAACATTAAATTATCAGCTCAACCCCGAGCCCATAACACAGTCACTTCAAGACTCGCAAACTTTATGGTAGGTAAAGTAGAGCCCAGAGTGAGCCAATCGCCTGATAAAGAGGACGGTGGCAGAGAACTTATCACCACGTGGCATAAACCAGGAAAATTACTGCACCTATGTCGTGTTATGGGAGTTTACTTGACTTAAAGACCCTCAACTTGTTCATAAAGGCAGCAAATATTGCTGAGCTTGTGATTCGACGATAGTGTCATCGAACTGGCGAAGTCCACCGCACGCCATCTATGCTTTTATCTTGATTGCCTACAAATTCACACATCTCCATAGTTATTTACCTTAGCCATAAATAACAAGGACCGTATTTAGCGATTGAAAAGGTGAATAATTGGCATACAAGAAGAAAAACATGGGAAAACGGATAAAACTATCTAAGTAGAGTCTAGCTTAGCAACCTCCGCAAATTCATTTGGAAGTCAGCTGGAGAAAAGATTCCAGCTACTGAGTATGTCCGAGTGAGAGTGGAAAGAAGGACGTCAGAAAACTGACTAGATGTGAGGAGTGGAAGTTACAATGCTGCGAAATAGGTGACAGGAAGGGAAAAGAAAACACGATGCAATTAAGGGAATGGATAAATTGTTTAATCCTATGATTGCTGATTAGTGCATAGAACTTCACTGCAAAAAGTCAGTTGATCTTACTCAGTACCATCGAGATCTTAAAGTTGCACCTCTATCATAAAGCCCATAATCCGTTTCACTACAAGAAACATTACGCCCGTCTTGCTGTCCGACTCACAGGGGTGAGATGTTGAGGTGGGAAACGCAAAAGGTTGGCCATAGGAGGGGGAGGGGCAGTAAATTAGGAAAAATATGTCGTAAAAAATGCATTTGGCCTCAAACATTAAACCGTAGTTTTCCCCACAAGATGGATATAGGATTAATCGAGAACTGTTGATACCTCAAAGTTCTCTGTGCTATACACAGACAATGATTGGAGGACAGCATCAGTAAAACATTACAACTGTCTTGGGGGAAGAGAATATGTCGTGAGTGAAGGAATCGCAAAGGTCCTACAAAGGGCCCCCAAAGCCCAATCAATCTTAGGAATTATTTCGATTGTCGATAAAAAATGAGAGATTTTAAATGTTAAGCCAAAACACTGATTCCAAGATTTCCAAAAGAAACGCCCTAATACCTCCTAATAAGCAAAATAAGCAAACTCACCAACTGAAGAGCAATCATAATGACGGTTTTGAGGGAGAACTGACGATTGCAAATCTCAAATAGATCCTCCAGAGAAGGACCAAGGAGTTCCATCACGAGGGCATTATGCCGCCCCACCGGACCGAAGTAGTAAACCATGGGGAAACCGACTAGGAGAGTCAAGAAAATGAGGTGACGCAAGGCTTGTGCTGCTACCATCCAGCGGCGTAATTTGTAGTACAAGCAAGTTTTTGTAAAATACTACCTATTTCGTTGAATTCCGGTGCGTCGCCAAGGCTGTCAATCAAACTAGATGATATCACGCGGTTAAGGAGGCAGTGCTACTACAGCTCATATACAAGACCAGAGGATTCGTCAAATGTAACTGACCAATTAGAGAGGTGGCTGTAGCCAACTCAGGAGGGACACATAGGATCACAATCTGTTTACTCGTAACTAACTGTCAAACCTTAACAACTCGAGATTAGTTTGTGGCATCAATGGAAACTCATCATCCTACATAGTGGTACTCTGACGCCTACCAAAAAAGGGATAGTAGGAGAAATAGCCGGGTTCTAGGATTGGTCTTCTCGATGGAAATAAACTGTCAGCTAGAAAAGTTCCATCCAAACCGGCTAATGAAATGGAGGTTTCAAAGAAAGAAATACCGTAAGAATGGACTTAAAGTAGTGACAATATTGGGAAGAATAAAGTCACAATAGGACAAAAAAATGCAAGGCGGATTGACCCAATTTTTGTTCCACAACTAACATTAACCACTTCCTAGGCCAAGTTACCCAAAAATGTGAAGAGTTATAGATTTGGAACAGAATTAAAAGAAAACGAATAGCTGTTTGGCATTGTACGGAAACCAAATTCCTATTCCGCAGTGCCAAATGAGTTGGATATCTTCCACGAGACCTGCATAGTAAAGCAAGGGTGCCACCAAAAGCACCAATCAGTGAGGTCTTGCGTTGAGAAAACAAGTCAATGCAATTGAAAAAAAATAATAATGCGATCATGACGAAATTGTGCCAAAATGAGGATATAAAGGGTGGATGAGACGCCCGTAAACACAACCACATCAATCAGAGTGATCAATTAACTTTACAAAAAATGAATTAAATGAGTGAACTATAACACGCACTTTAACTCATCTTCCACATTTCGGACACTTGCAAGCAGAAGTTGATCTATCGAATTCTTATTCATACTGAAGAATCAAGAAAATCGACCTCAAACTGTTGACAACTTATAGAAGGCAGCCAAGGCCCGAGGATTCGACTAGTAAAACTAGGCTACGATTATGAATCAAATAGAGCCGAATTGATGGATGATTTTAATTATAGCAAACGTGCCCACAAGTATCATGCTGATCATAACGGACAAACAAGCCAGCCGACAAAAACTGTACAGAATATTTCCACCTAACGAAAGACCATGCAAAAGGAGCCCCAGCTACACAGAAATGGTGTTTGGATCTCATGTGAAATATATTTAGCCCGGTGCTGAGCAAAACAAACTGAATCTGGATCACAGCATTAGTAAAACAGTGTGAGCCAGTTGGAGGTAGGGAGATGAAGTCAATTTCTCCGCTAATGAGCATAAACTGCCTAAAGGTAGAAGATAGATTAGCCTCGGAAATTTCTCACAAAAGCATTTGGAGAAAATGAGCTATATGGTGCATTATTTTATCCCCATTACCTTGATAAGTTAGCAAATGGGACTTCGATGTCGTCCATATCTTTTGTGTTACTGACAGATACTCAACCATTTGACCGACATTGATCATTGAAAGATAGATTAACAAGCCTTTCTAGGACGGTCAATCAGCAAATAACACAAAGATATGGTGACGGTGCCACCATGAGTAAGCGAAGAGAATAGAAAAAAACATACGAAGTCGATAGATTAACAAATGGATAGGTTATAGTTCCGATCTGAGCAATTGAAGTTCCAAATAACTGTCCTTAGGATCAATTAAGCATATTACCTCGACGAAGAATATCACGCGGCGCTCCAATTTGTTTACCAAATTACTCACTACCTGCTACGAGTTTGATTATTAAAACCTGAATATGTGAAAACGTGGGTCATCGCAGTCAAAAAGTGTAAATTAATGGTACAAGATGATTCGTTTTATCTGACGATAGGAAAAATAACCCTATGAAAATTAGTGACTGCCAATCAAAATGCAGGGCCCAATAACCGATCAACCAATAAAACGACAAACCAATGACCAAGAGAGGATCTCGAGCCAATGACATTACCGCAAGAAAAGTGCATACTGATGGCAGGGTGATCGCCTTGGTGTTCAATTAGGCGAATAGCGCGTAAACGATAAAAAATGAGGATAAAGTAAAACTGCTCCTTTAATGGTTTACAGCTGAGGAGAGCAGTAATGCGCGAAGTCAGCACCCAATTAGTGGTCGGAAAATGGACACCCTCTAGTCCTCCAAAGAAAAGTTTACCTGTCAAAATGAGTCGACAAATAGAATGCAACCTGTCGAACACCCATGTAGACAGACATGGAACGATAAGTAGAGGACCTGTTCAACACTTTTGTGGACAAACAACCTACCTAGGTAAAGTAGTGTCACTTCCTTCATTTAAATTGCGACTTATATAAATCTAAAAGCAGCACTCAAATCGTGGGAAGAAGAGTCAATACCCAGATTTACCTTCACCTTGAGAGTCATAAACTACTGCTTTCTCATCACAATTACGACAAAAATTAGAGCATTTTACGGAATAAGTAATGGGATATAAACTCATTTTCATGACGCACCACCAAAATAGCCAAAAAAAAAAACAAACGTCTAATTGCTTATGCCAAAAAAAACAGTATTTTTCTGTGTACTTTGTTGGTATTGAATACCAAACAAAAGTCAGCGATTGCAGCGTCATCAACCAAAAGAAAATGCAATTCAATGACGAGTGGCACCGACCAATAGCCTTTCGGCAAGCGAAACGCCGCGCGTCTGCACATGGACAGAGAAATGCGACTTTTTGGCGCTTGCGTCACTCCCTCGTTTGGGTCGTCAGCAATCCGGCGTAGGCGGTGGAGTACGTAGCTGTCTCGACGACAGCAGGCAGACGTGAAAGCGCGCTTACACACACAGAACGAGGCGACCAAGGCCTCTGCGCAGGAGCATGGGTGTGCGCCACAGCGCACCGACTGTACTCTACCGGTAAGTCAGGCGACTAGTGGGTAAATAGCGAGCCTGTCCTCTTTACCTTTGCACTAGCTGCTATCCAGCCTGTTTAGAAGTCCACTTCAACTAAACACTTTGCCCCAGCTTGATCGCAATGTGAGCCAACCATAATGCAGGAGATAGGACTGAAATGGGACCATAGCAGCTGTTCGGTAGCAGCAGCAACAGCGAACAAAGTTTCAGTTACTGGTAATCATCCAAAATTTCATGCATTTCCCTTTTGCGGGTAGATTGATGCCACAACCACTGGCGGGCAGGAAAACAGTCAATGTGCTAGCCAGTACCTCGCTCCTCCTGCCTCGACAGGCAGCCAGCTCGTTGACTGAGCGGGGGTTGATGCGCTTGACTAGTTTGTTTGCCCATTTATGAAAGCCACAAAACACCCGACTTAATTGTCAATGTTAAAATGTATCACTCCAACTCTTCGCGGCTGTCTGAATTCCCACCGACTTGATGCACGGCAGCAAAACGTTTGAGAAAAGGAAAGACTGCCGACTAATTGATGGAAGCTGCAATTTGCTTATGGCCAAGTGGATGTGCTTAAGTGGCGTCATGAAATGAAGTCTCATTACAAAGAAATTAAAATATTGGGTGCAGCAATTATACTAAACCTACTTTTTTTCTCTTTCAATTATGCGTTTGGGACAAATGAACGAGGAGGTGAGCCTCTTGACGAGACGACAATGCAAAGAACCAATGAAGTAACCAAACAAGAGACAAGATTTGGTGGAAGAGGGTCGTTTGCTGCGGACACTTTTAACCCACCCCTGCAGCATTGAGTGGGGCCGGCTGAGGTCAGGTCACAGCAGTGCCTTTAAAAAGGGTGTAAATAGAGGCAACACGATGACTAGGGTAAAAATGAATTAGGCATAGCACACTTTAATCACTTTTAAATCATTTGAATTGCTGATTGGGCTCAACAGTCACACATTAAACATGAAGAAGATAAGTCATCCACCCGAAACACACCCGTTTTAACACTGACACAAATATAAAGTGGACATAAAATAATTCGCACCCGGTCGTCCCACCTCTAACACTTCAGCTAATTTACGTAAAAAAATTAATCATCAGATCATGCATAAAGTTCACTTTCAAATGAGGCATAAATCACCGCCAAATACGGTGGGTAACAGTGAGCACGACTCCTTGATTAGTAGCAAAAGGGACTGTCTTCGTTCCGGCAATCGTTTGATCACCGAAACCGCAAGCTGGCAACAACGAAAACCGTATTACCCTTACCCAGATGTTACTGATAAGATTTTAAAAAAAATAGAAAAACGTTTCTATTTCAAAAGCACAATGCCATTGGAATTAGTCACCGGAAAGTCTGGATTAATTCAGTTGACGGAAGCAATGAAAGCGCCTCATGCCTGTCTGCCCCTCATCGTTGTTCAAGTAAAATGCTGCAACCATGACCATGGAATTGGGAAGGGAGAATTTAATGGGGCGAAATTGTTGCCAGTTTCAACACTCCAGCCACCGAAAAGCTCATTGTCTCGGAGTCCATTTGGACACGAGCAAGTGCAATAAGGGATGAAAGCATTGAGAAGGCATGACGGTGATTTCTGCGTCCACTCAACTACGATGCAGTTTCGCCAAGTAACCCCACCAGGTGCGTCTTGGTCAAATCAACCCTCAGTTAGAGCTATTTAGGATGTAATAAAAAGGACATCCCACCATAAAAAATATCAAGCGAAGGCAGTGACATAGTTCTACCGAGCAGCCAACCAAAAAGTACTGCCGAATTTGACCGAAAAGTGATAACGCAATTAAATAGGAGTTTCAATGCATCCAATAAACTGTCCCTGCCGTTCAACTAAGCGCTTCTATATCAGCGGTAAATAGGTGTAAGTTTCTCCTCCCGGGGGAAAAAGGAGATGCTGACGTCGAACGTTCAACTACGCGTAAATGCCAGCCTCTGCAACGATGGTGAGGCATGGAGACACACACACACACACACACTTCATACCGGCTTGGCTTAGTCAGCACAATTCACCCTCTCCGCACCACTTTTCCAAACTCTCGCATTATTCGAGTGTTTTTTTTTTTTTGCTGCAAGCAAGAACAGTAGAGTTGAGGAAAAAATAGTCGAAACCGACCCTTCCCACCGTCCATTGAAGCAAGACGATTGCGCTCGAGAGAGAGAGGGCGAGAAAGTTGAATTTTGAATCGGAGTAAAAAAACTGTAAAGTGAATTTCTATTCCAACGACTTGAAATTATTACAAGCTTTAGTGTCCAGTAGACAGGTGAACCTAACAGCAAACAACATGGACACAATGATCCCCATCACCGACTGATTAGTGCCTCCAACAAACATGCTTCTGGGAGAAGAGAATACACGTGCAGGCTGATGGTTATTTAAACAAATCGCTTCCCTTCTTGTACTCACGGTAGCGAGCCTATACAAAAAATGGTCAAATGTTTATCAAGTGCACAGGCGGAAAAACCAAACCAACAACACAACGCCATTTGTCCCACCTAAACCGATTCGTTCACATTGCCTTGATGCAGCGATTTCACAAGACCCATTTGTACACCTCTTGCAACGCTATCAAAAAGTGACGATGTAACAACTCAGAATCAAAAGTGTTGGAAAGTGATCTCTCGAAAACGAAGTGCGGTAAACAACCTATCGGTAGGTAACAACTGATTGTCAAAGCGAGGTAAGCCCAACACCGCGTCAAGATCACAATTCCGCTAGTTACCATGACTACGACCTGTAGCAACGCCAAGAAGCGAAAAGAGCGTACGCATATGCACACATGCGAATGCGTATGCGTGTATATTGAACACCAAGAGGTAAACACAGCTGAGGATGGCCAAAGGAGTAAGTGTGAAACACCACTGGTTGGTACTACATCGAGAGCCATCTTTGCCTTGAGGAGGAGAGAAAAATAATGGCGCGATAACATCTAAACTGGCTGTCAATTCTTTTACTCGCAATTCGCCATAATAAACATTGATGGCACTGGGGTGTTCCGTTAAAACGAAGTCCTGCAGTCACACCTGTGTGGACACCTTGGCTGTCATAATCTGGGGGGAAAAATCAGCTACTCAGGCTTGTATTACTCATTCGCATCACCACTATGATCACTTGAAACGCTCGAAGAAGCACACCTACCACTAACCGTTAGTACAAATTGGTTTAATCTAGTCACCACAAATCTACACGGAGGGGATAGGATGTGGTGCTGAGGTCCCAAAGCCGGGATTTTGTCGGAGAACCTGGACTACATCTAAGTGGCGAAAGAAAAACAGATTTCTTAATCAAAATGCGACAAACATGCAGACAAAGTAAGAAAAATGGTATCAAATGAGAAGCTGTGGAACAATATACTTGAAAGTGAGTCAACTTCAATTCGAAGTTTAGTTTTATTTGGCATCTCTGAGGCGTTCAAGTCAAACCTCAACCCCTTATATGCCATAGGGTGAAGTAAAGCTGCCCAGCTATTCCTCATGAATCTCAGGACAAATCAGCACAATGTAGCAACACAAGCAACTGTGTAGGGCTTCAAACGTTGACACATGATGCGTTTGAACTCTAACAATGCACCACTTCCATTACAAATCGGATGCGTTGCTGAAATTCCCAAGCCTCGAAATTCAAAAGAATGTTTTTTAACAATTGCGACGCAAAATACTGCAACCCTTAAAATGATAAATCCGAAATTTTAAAACTACAGATGTGTAGTGGGTGAAAGAAGACACTTACTGGCATTTCCTGTCTGCAACATGCGATAGAACCGATACTCCAAATGCAGTTGGGGTGCCCGCGTCTTCATCGGTTCCAGTTTGATCGCCACATGCTCGTTGGTGTAGAGATTTTTGCCTTCAACGTAAACCAAAATGATTGAGACAATTGCCAATCTTCCTACAGCACAACAAGGGAAGCAAACATAGACAAATCGCTGCATATGGTATTATACAAATGCCATTCCCGTTTACTATGCGAGCCAACTTACACATTGATGGAAAGAGATGTCAATAAGGGTTATGTTACTGTGCTATTCCTTGAATCATGCACTCAACAGTTGTCAAGAGGCAACACAAGGCGCTGCAGCAATGACAGCGATGAGCAAACCACCAAAAGTACAACAATGCAAGTTTCCGTTGAGTGTACCAAAACATCACAAAATGAATCGTGCTGGATTCTGTTAGTAATTCGGAATTTTAGCAGTTATAAGCAGAGGAGGAGACAGAATAGGGATCTGCACAGCTTTGGTATTTAACACTACCCAATCCTTCCCTTACTCCATTGGATATGACTGGCAATAAGGACACAAAACACTCCGCAACGGAATCTCAATCCCAACAACGGTTGATTTTGAGACTACCTGCAGACCGAATAATTTTTCATAGCAACTAAAAATGCATTGACTGCTCCTTTGGTCAGACAATCGAGATCAAACTCACGAAGACTGCAGAAACGGGTCATTTTTTACAATCCCTTCAAACTAAATCTACACTAGGCACAGGGCTGAAGACATGAGACTAGGGTCCAACGAACTGAAACTGACACCAAAGAAGTTTATAAAATACGGACAGTGAATGCAGTTAATGAAGATAAGGATCTAAAAGTTGGGGTTCGCTTGGGATTTTTATGCATGAGACCTGTCCAGATATATCGGTACTTTTCGGTTCATCTCAAACCGGTTTTCTTGCAAGGAAGCCAGGCTTGATGTTGCTAAGCTGTAACTCCGCCTATATGTTAAAAATAAACGTACTTAGACATGCATGCCCGATAACTCTACACGGCTAACATCGGTAAACGAAGCTAAACCAAAAAGTAAACAATAATTAGCTTATAGTTGATGAGACACTGCACAAAAATATTACAAAAGGACTTCTAATTAAGTTGAAAAACGCTAATAAAAGAAGCGTCGAAATCAATTCACACATTAGGACCCACTCTAAGCCAGATCGCTTGAACTAGTCGATCTTTGAACTGCTTATAAAGCGGATGAGAACAAGAGGCGAAGAGTAGACTGACACTCATTCTGCAAGGAGGTGGAAATAACTTGAGGAGACTCTAGGTACCAACAAAGGGCAAATCCATGAGAAACCATTCTTTAGTCATTGAGTCTTGTCAATTAACCCTTCAGTTTCTTCGTACAGAGGTCTCAATAATGTGAATAATCGAGTGATGCTACTACTATCTCAAGCTTTTTGTTGACGTCGATAGCAGAGCCACCTACCAAAATCGGAGCAAAAACACCGGGATTTACGCCGAAGCAACATCTGAGGTGGAGGCAACAACGAAAATATGGATACGCACAAACATTACGCGCGCACGCACACGCTAACGATAAGTTGTGTAAAGGATTTAGCCGTATAAATCACCCACACGGGGTTGATACTGACGGAGATGCTATCACACTGAAACAGTACAGATCTAGTGACAGAAAGAGTAATATAAAGTCGTTCAGAGGGGAGCTGATATAGAAGGTCACTAGCCTGTGTGTTTTGCTGAGCAGGCACAAATGGATTCACAACAAAAAACCGAGGATGGAAGATAAAATACTCTATGTCATTTTTCACGAACCACAGAGATTCAATTTCAGATGCGCTAAGAGAGAAAACACTTAGGAAATCAAAAACAACAGGAACAAAAAAAGCTGAGTTGCGCATTTGGGGGACGACACTGATACATAAACAAATGGGCAAAGTATTTTTGCGATGTTAAATGAGGTTCAACAATCTGAAAATGAAGTTAGAGTGAAGTGGAGGAAACCAGGGCGCAGTCAAGTAAACAAACACCGAACCAAGAAGCTCAGTTTCTTCACGAATTCTCTGTCTGCATACGCCCTCTCCAACTGGTTGAAACTCGAAATAACACCAAATTTGGTGCGCAATGACATGTGAAGATTAAAAAATACATGTATACATTCATTCAATCGTATTATTCTACTTACGATTCAGGCAAATGAACATTTTGTGCTGAGATGTACGACATTGCGTTATTTATTAAGATACCTGAATACTCGAATACCGTTTGAAAGAACACATGAGTGAGACAATTTTATTAAATTGATCTGTACTAAGAGCGACTTGCTAGATCATAGTTTTTTAATGTTTACGATGCAAGAGAGAAATATGAGTCAAAGTAGAATAATCAACAAGTGACCTAATGGAAAAGGAGGCTGAAAGTTAACAGGTTCGCGAAAGGTTGAACGAAACGTGGATTACAGGTACGATCTAGTTTCCAAAGTTTTAATAAATAGCAGACGAAATCAACTGTCAGAGCAAATCTGAGTTCGGTTCACAGATACGAAGCAATAGGTCTTAATGAATGCTTAATGAATCCCAGTGAAACTTATGACACGATAATTTGCAACATATCCGAAGGTAGTAAATGGTTATAGTAATGAATAATCAGGAAGAAAAATTATCAATGTGGAGAGAAAAAACAATCGTACTAATGACAGTGTGGAAACCCGATTGTTGTCAAAACAAACACAGACAACAGAAACTAGCCAATTTTGGGTAAACTAAAACGACTATCACATGATAACTAGACTGTGGACGTAAAACGTCTTTGAGCTAACCAGGAATGCAAGTCAAGAGAAGTAGCAAGAAGAAAGATAATGCTGAAATGTAATCATCCCAGAACAATCCCTTGCGAGATAGGCCCGCAGGTGCAATATGAGGAAGCACCACTAACAACCCAGTCGGGGTAATGTGGTTTTGTAGAGAGATTCGTTAACACAAAACCCACCTATAGGTCTTGTTTTAAAATGTAAATGAAATGTGGGCCAAACCTGAAATCCTATGCATTTTGATTTCTAGGTGGCAAACAACTAGAGCAAAACCGCCAAAAGTCATTGCATCATACATCGCAACTCAATAAAAAAAGGATCAAATCAGAGGAAAGCTGACGACTGAAAACACCCGCCAGAACCGAAATCGCCCAAAAAAGACGGGGAAAGAGACGATAAGAGCATAATTGGAGAGGCAGATCTATCACAATCAGGGGCCGCAATATGCAGCGACCGGAATTAGATGCCCTATACAAATATCCTAGAAAAAAATGTAAAATGCTAAGGGAAAAATGAATATTCAAAGGAAGAAAAGTGCAACAACGAACCACGGGGCCCAGTTAATGCAACATGCAGTAATCGTGTGGTTACAGGGAAACCATAAAGCAAAAACGACGTTAACAGAATCAAAAATGTCCTGAAACAGTGTGGTTGCTCTAAGGACTTAAAAATAACTAACCGAGTCGAATTTCACCAAAATTTCCGCACCCGATCTTTTTGCCAACACGAAAATTGGGACCAACAAATAAAGAGTTTGAGTCGCGGGAGGAGCGGAGACCATCCTGTTGATGATTTGAAGACATTTTGTGATAAAAAAATCGAGGTTATATTCCAAATGTATCCACGGGAATCATACACTAATTACAGGAGGTAGGAGCGGTCCGCATGCTCCAACGATGGCGGATTCAATTGTCGAGGGTGACTCAAATGCTCAGAGGGAATAAAAGATCCATAAAAAGTAAGTGGATCCGCAAATTCAACGCAAAATAACGGAGAAAGCAAAGCAAAGCAAACTGTCCATGTTGAACTGAATAGACCAATCAATTAAGCGACGCGAGATAGATAAACAAAAATATAAAGAATCGCATTTAGTGTCAGAAAATTGATGATGTATAATTCGATTGCAAGAAGTAATTGTAAAGGAAGTGAGAAGCAGCACTTGTAATGCCATTGCCTTTGTTTTCTCCTCCTGATTGCAAAAATTTTAATTAATTTCAGAAAAGGTAACACGGGTGTTGAATTAAAATCAGAAAACCTATATGGTAGTAAGGATTATGCACTCTTTTAGATTCAGGGGATTTAGCCTGCAGCTTCAGATAACGTCATCCCCAGCCTTTTAGGCATC